ATTAGGGGAAGATATACATACCATAACAAATTAAATCCATGAAGCACAGGTTATTCTCAGTAGCTGATAGTCACTCATCTGGTCAACAAATTCAGAGCCTTTTAATAAATTCCTCTTTTGGACTGAAAATGGAGAGGTTATTTTCTTCCGAAACTAATTTCTCGTGAAGTTGTGGTCACAGTAAGAATGTCGTGGTACATGGTTTCGATGACTTTATTATGTGCCACTCTGTAAACAGAGAACTGTTGTTGAGAGCTCCGACAGAGGACAGCAGGCCACCCTGGATGTGCGTGGCAAAGTACTCCACACATTTGCTACAGACTGTCACACCGGTGCGTTCACAGTTCGCAATTAAATAATAGAATATCTTCCACATACAAAAATTAAAATAATTCTAAATTCATAATCGTTCACATTCCATTTGTTCTTTGAGGTTACCTTTATCTTTTGATAATATTTACGTCGTTAAACAATATAAAATGCCTATTCGAATTGGACACCCATTTTATTTTAAAGCACATATAACTATTTATTCATTTTTCATTACTTTATGCAGTGTAAATTCTAGAAAAATCTTTTTGCGAAGCCCTTAAATTATTCATGATATAAGATTTAACGTTGGATGAAATTTATTACTGTCATAACACGACACTGTTTCTGTGCAGTTTTTTCAAGCGTTATTTTCATACATTCAATATAAAAGTATTCATTAACTGTTATCAGTAATCAAAATCGTCCCCACTATAAGAAGAATAAGGTATATTTTCGAACTTATTATAAATCTTAACTTTTTCTGCGCTTAAACAATAATTTGCAATTTAAAGACTACAGACTATCTGTAACATTTAAAACACAAAGTGTAACACTTTAAAAGTTTACTGCAATGATGTTAGGTTATGTACACTATTTTAACCGATATTTCGGTGTGTGGTCTTCAGTGGCTGGTTATAATTACAATTTAGAGTACCAAACAAAGCAAAGTGCTTTTACTTTACAAGTTTTCATTTGTTAAAGGGATGCTTGTGAGTTGAGACGTCTATTCCGTAATCTTCAGGCACAAGTTTCAAAAACCTTCTAAGTTTATACGGTGCCCCGAACAGAACTACGAACTTTCCATTCACTTGATAAATCGTCAAACAATTAGCAATTATACTTGATATAAACAATGACGTTTGACATTTCATTAAAACCGACAGTCTACTTTGACTATCTTTGTTTTTGTATTGTGTCACTCTCATAAAGCATGTATTCGTTTCAGTTTTGTATTTCACGTTTTGGTTAGTTAATAATGACCATTACATATATCGCTTCCTGTGTTAGTTTACATATATATGATATAATTTACCTAGTAATTCCATACTCCACTAATGGCCATTAAATTGGTGATGCAATATGATCAGGAGCTATCCAAATGGCGAGGCTGTAATTTTATGCATTCCGACAATCCGCAATTAATTATACTTGTTATTATTAATCCAATTCGATTTGTTGCATAGCGTGTGGTCTCACAGGTACTGTTAAATGCGATCGTATCAACAGAATACCCCGCTTTATTGTGATATTACGTTACAAGGTATTAATTTGTGTCCCATGTCAATTCCCAATTTTTTTTATCTTTTTATATAAAATACGTTAATGTGCCAAAATGTCACAGAATGTAAAGGTGCGGAAGTTGCAATAAAACACAGTCAGAAGAGCGCTGCATATTATATGACGATCTCACGATATCACGGTTTAGAATAATTTTCTGTGCTAATCTGTTTGTTTTGTTGTCGTCATGATATTGCATCGAACAAGTAACAACTAGATTTTTTTTCAACGTTAAGTGAAAACTATTTATGAGAAAGAAATCGTGGTGTTCTGTTTTAAAATATTATGCGTACATCGACATTTGCCTAAATGAAACGAGAAGGCCCTGATGATGGAGGCAGCAAGCACCTTTGAAGCGCCACTGAACTTTTACCAGACTACATGGCATATCAACCCAGAAGACGGTCACTTTAAAAGTATAAAAAGTCTGCCTGTCGGTGTGGCAGATGAATTACAAAGTTCAGCAAAGCCTAAGTTGGTATTAACCACTACTGCACAAATATATTCGGTATTGTTGTTGTTGGTAAATCAGACACTTCGGTCTTCTCTCATAAACAAAGACGTAAAGACGGTGTTTTATTTTTGTTTTAGTTAGTTGAGATCCTGACACTAAGCACTAACGATTCAGTTAATGAGAACATTTTTTTTTTTTTTTTTTAAGAATTCGAAAGTTGCCAGAAGAAATTCAACAACGGAAGTTGGGAAACTAAAATAGATGTGTTCGAATACAGCAATAGCTGTTAGAAATATCTGAACCGTATTAGACACTTTCATACTACGACAGAGTTAATTTCTCACAAAGTTTGGCGAAGCTTGAAACGAAGTTTGTCTGAGAAGAGTTGAGTGGTACAGACAGCACACAGAATATCTTCTTAAGAAACTATCCGGATTTCTTACATTCTGCACATGCTCAGGGATAACTGAGTTAATATAAACAAAATACGGGCTCAGTAAATGCATCTGAAAAGTCATAATCGAAGTTATATGTCATATTATTGCCTATCTTAACAGATACTTTACAAGCACGTGGTTCGCTGGGTACCAGACAGTGACGTTTGGTTTATATGGTTACGTTTATACACAAGATGACAATATACGTTTCAGCGGTGCAGTTAATACCTTGAAGAGCATCACTTTCTTACCTGAAATAATGTGGCAACAGACAAATCAGTCTCAACATGTTTCTTCCCCCTTTTTCCAATCGTAAGGCCTGAGAACTACAGAATACTTACTGCGCTGGAGGGAGACAATAATTGTTCGTAATTACACGCAATAAAGAATTTTATTGCAGCCATTTTAACATCAGAATTGGCACAGCTCTTTGATCATTATTTCGTTTAATTATCCCTTAAAAGGAATAAATTTAATATAACGTTGAAGCATTTTAACATCTGTACTTGGAATGTGAACCGTTTTCTACTACAGTCATGTGTGTTTAGCAAATTTCTTGTTTTCCATGCATAATTATTTTAAAAGAATAAAGTGCGCTTTAGGTATTTTATTTTAGTATTTATAAGATCATCAATGACAGTTTCAATTGTAACAATTGGCGTAAAGACCGGCTCTGGATCCAGTGGACACCGGAAACACTTTCCCCAGGGGTAAGCAGCTCGCCTCAACTCACCGATACTTCTGCATTGCGTGGTGCTTAATTAAGCACCAGGGACAACATTACTTGTTGCAATCATCCTCAATCTCCTATATATCCTAAGCATATTCAGGGCCATTATATTATGCGTCTAGAAACTTGTAACAAGAAAGCCCGTCTAGCTAACTTTTAGGCTTAATCTTCTTTGACGGAAATTTCTTAAGTCACATACACATAATTTTACTCTTAAATAAAAGCCAGTTACTTGCAATGGCACGTAACTTCCAGTAGGAGAACGCACCCAGCTTTGTTCCGCTCTCTCTCTGTCTCTCTTAAATCACATTAAATATGCATGGTGGAGAGAGAACGGACAAGTATAGGCTCACTAAAATCATTTTAAGCTAATTAACCTTCCGCCATAGCGTAGAGCCAATTAACCTTAGGGGCTGTAAATGGAAACTGCAGCATCAACGTTCAGACACACCTGGCAGATACAGTGATTAGAATTTGAGCAGTGACTTGGTGACTCTTAATTAAACACAAACTCTTTCAGAAACCAATTTGATTGATACTGAAAAGTCATTTACAGAATTCCTTTACATCCCGTAGCAGATCAGGCAAAGATGGGACACGAAGTAGCTAAATTTGACTTATTTTCTGCAAAAATAAATTGTAAAACACAGGTAAAATTAAACGTTTTCCTGTGCCTAATCACCAAACTATGAACGGGTACATGGAGGAGTGAATATAATGCTCCACACTCTACAGATCTCGGGTGGGTGGTTAGCTTCGCGCTCTGGTCGTGTTTATCTCGAGGAAAGAGTCCCTTGTTTGGTCCTCAGTATTGGTCTAGATACGGTTTTCAGCAGCAATTGGAGGTCCGTTCGTCGAGCCAGTCATGTTACTGACTGAGCTAGCCGGTTAATAACTTGATATGGGAATTTTTCGAAACACAAAAGCAAGACACTCACTTTAAGTCCTGAGTCTGCCTAAAATTTCTTACATTATTTCAAGTATCCGCTTGCAAAGTTGACTATGTGATTAGATAATATGGATTTTTCAGCTATTTTCTGTGCAGTTCTGTGTATATAATGGCCTTCAGATTATTTGATTCTAAATCCAATCACTCCTGTCTCTTTTAACAAGTTCGGGAACTTTTGCGGAGATAGTGTCACCAGTTGCTAAATAATCAGTAAAAGCAATAACTGTTCAACTTCGAAATTAACCATAGTGCTATAGATATATGAAGTATTCGATTAGCAAATAATCACAGAAAGTCTTCAAATACATGGCAAACAGTTTTGTTCCAAGAGGTTTAATGGAACAATGAATATTTAACAATGTTACCTGATTACTCTACATATTGATGTAGTTTAAAGTCTTAGATGTTTAATTTTTATAATTCTAAGGTGAATTTGTAAGAAGTGTAATGTACGAACTTCCATGCAACTTCATTGAAATAAAGGCTGCAAAGAACAGTCACGACTAGAGCCTAATATGAGATACCCGAATTGTGGACTTCAGAAGTTCCGAACAATATAATCTACAGGAATGGCAACGACTTTCCAAAAATATTCCGTTTTTCATTAATGCAGGGCGTGGGGCAGACAAAGACTGCCAGTATTTTGTCTTCGAATTTCTTGTACGTCCATGTATCTATTTATCTGTAAGTACAAACATTAAAACGTCTACTTTAATTATCATGGAACAAGTTTCTTTCTTCCATCTCATGACCAGCTAAATCTAGGGGCATGCCCTTCCCCTCCGCTACCTCATGGGCCCCAAACACCTCACCTTCTACTTCCTTCTCCTCTTTTCTTACCTCGTTTCGTAATTAAGAAAAATGAGCTCCGTGGCACACTCTTCAGGGCACACTCAGGCGCAGCAAATATCTGAAAGTAGCGGAAGAAAGAAATTAATGACTTCTTCATAAAAATACAGAAGAGAGAAAATGGGTACGAAAGAGTGAGGAAGAATTTGATTTTACTTGAAGCGTAAATTTTGTAATTAAAAGAAACTCGGATGTTGTAAGCACTTTGTTTGTTCGGTGTTCCGAGTAATGGCGTTGCAGCACTTTGGAGTACACCCCGCGAGAGGATGCAAGTTGTTTCAGTCACTTACAAATTATCGACTTCTGATGCTGGAAGCTTTTAGTGTGGGCCACACTTTCCAGCCGATCACATTCGTAAATCATTTGCTAAGTTTAATCCACGTGAATAATGTTCATTATTAAATTTTCATAACACGTGACCCTAATAATATGAGCATATTTTCCAAAACTCTGAGGTCCTAGATGTAAATAACAACAAAGCCTGGTCAATGAGCAAACAGCTAAGGTACGTTTGTTTCTGGTTCTTCTTTAGATGCAGTGCCATCAAGATGTACGGAGGAGTGGAAGTATGGCTCCACGCATTTTTAAGTTCGGCATTAGACGGAGGTGAATGGTTATTTCATGCCTCAGACGCTTCACCCCTGGGGAAAGAGCCCCCGGCGGCGACTAGATAGAGTACTGGGTAGGGTCTAAAGACGATCAGAAAACGGTGTCGAAAAAACTCTGCTCCTACCAGGAATCTAACCCCGATCGTCTAGCCCGTAGCCAATCTAAAAACTTTACTTAAGTTTATAAGGAATGTAAGATACACCGTTTTTAAGAACGCGGACACACATCCATGCCACGAGTCTGACAGGGATTCATTTACGGATAAGCTACTTTAACCCTTCGAGGCATGAAACTCATCCAAATAATACCCAGCCCCCTACATCAAAGAAAACACAGCGTCCCCCTTACAAAGATTAATTGGGTAATACTGTTAGGAAAATAATCTGTTTATTCTGAGAATCGCTGGATATTCTTAAATATATTAGGTGCAAAATGGAGAGTTATTTAATGTAGAAGTATGTGTTATATGTAGCTGAGCTTTAAGGAGTTAAGTCTTGACAGTGGCAATATGAATTACCATAACCATAACCTGTTCACTATCTCACTCAGTACATGTTCCTCGTGCTCTGTATCAGCATCGGTCTCTCTGTTACAGTGATAATAATAAATGATCTCTCAAGAATCAGCAGCTTGCCGTTTTCCTAGAAGTTTAATCCATAAATTGATAATCGATTAACTTTTAAGACTTTTTGGGCAATGTCGTAGAGATATACAATGCGTAATCTATAACAATTATTTTACTACAGGATCATCAGGAAGTCGTTTGCAGCAACATACGCGTAATGACATAACGGGAGGTAAGAAAATTCATTACATGTTATTATAAAAATATTAATCACAACAATATTTGGAACTTAACTAGCTGAAGTAAGAAGAAAGCTGTAAATCTAAATCGTGTACGCATTTTGAATTTTTTTTCTCGATATCCCAAGAAGTACCGTAATAAACCTCTAGAGAATAATAAGTTTGTTTTTACTATTAAGTAATATTTCCGGGTGAAAATCTCGGCTAAGAAATCGGCACCGATTCTCCTCAAACCCTCTCTTCACGAGAATTGCGAGACATTGTAGTCAAAATCCACGAGCGCATCCTCTAAAATCCTTATTTGCACATGATTTAAAATAATCTTCACATCTCATTTCAGGTGCCATATGATTACAGTAAAGTGCGCATCATATGAATTACAGGATTTCCCATACGCATCCTCGGAGCAGGTGTATTAAGCCCTAAGTAATGGGTTATATAAGCTGTCAGGCAGTGAAGGGTGTACTGTCCGACCATAGTTGGCATATGATATGAATAATGGTTCTGAAGTATGACGATAATGGGAGAAGAATGTCGTATCGCAAGGACGGATAGGGGTTCATCTTGAAAGTAGTTTCAATGTAGCTCTGAGACACTTGACTATGAGAGTTTCCTGTAGAAAACTAGTTACCTATTTTAGATCTGAGATTCTAACGGCGATGAAGATGTCCATGTCGATATTCTGAGTTGTAACGCGGAAGATAGACACAGTATGTTTCTCCAAAACGTTGGTATCTATGTATGAGTTCAGAAGACGTTTCAACTAGGAAGTACGAGTTATATACTGTTCATTTAACGACTACGTTTTAGCTCAGATTATATAAAGTCGAGTGAAAGATTGCAAAGCTTACTTTCTTTCATGTAAAAACCTAAACCGAAGTACACTTGGAACACGTGGTATATGATATTTCTATGTTGCAGTATGCATAGGAATGTACAATGAATGCATGATATTTTTACTGATGATGTCAAAACTGTTCCAAAATTCTACATTGTTTATACTTCAATAGCTAAAACATTCTGAGAACAAAAGATATATAAATTGCAACTATAACGTCTAAGATTTCCTGGTGACATTGCTGCAGTCGAGTACGGAAGATTGAACCCGACCTCTACGACAATGCGACTTCCGGTGTCGCCAACAGAGAATGCGAACCAGCGCGACTGTATGTGAATAGAAGCCATTAAGCAGTCTGTACTTACTAGAGCGTTTACAGAGAGGCACTTGACCCAAAAACGCGGACAATGTGGAAATGCACTATCACATTCGTCATTTATTTATTTGTCTCCAGAACGTTATACTGACCGTTCGCCAAATGTGATTGATATTTTCATTACGAAACTGAGTTTTATTCTTTGGTTTACTTAAGCACGCATTGCTATTAAACAAGTAGTTAGGCCTATTGGATTTATACTCAGAAGTACCCGGTTCGAACTTCGGCAAAGGTACAGACTAACTCAATATTTATATAATGGTTTCTCTGTCTTCCTAATCAATAACCACGAATAAAGCAGGTTAGTTAGTGCAGCGGTTATTCACTAGACCTGTACGTAAGAATAACGCAGTTGTCCCCTGTCAAGGTATCGAACCCTCAACTATTTTTCGTAGTGTCAAACACTCCCTACAGGTGGATACCCACAGTACCTACAAGAAAACTTCCATTTCTTTCTTCGCTCTATAATATTCGTAGTCAATGGAAACTAAGTCGTTTAATAATCAAAGACCAAACAAGTCTGTCATTAACTACAAAGGATGTCATCACAGTCAAGTAGTTCAGAAGGTGAAAGTTAAATTAGCCTAATTATCGCTGCACTAAGAATCCGGAATACCCCAAAATAAAACTTGTTCGTGGCTGTTTAGTGTGAATACCCTGTGCAAAATTTAATCAAAATCAGTTGAAAATAAATTATTTCGTGCGGATATACGGATGAATATTCCATGAGATGCTAACAGTTGTTTATTAGCGTGCGTCAAAACGCATTACAGTAATCGGTTCCGAAATTCGATCGATTCATACAGAATGCAGCCGATGGAATCGAATTCATTTGTTTATTTCTGGGAATTTTAACGGCTCTGCATCAAATGCATAGCAGGCTTAAAGAACGAGAAGGTACAATGACTCAGAAACTAGGTTAGAATATTTGGTCGTGGTTCATCTTAACGTAATATCTTGGTATTTTCCTGCAAGAATTGAAAGAATTGCAAACATGTTAAAAAGAAGAAAATAACTTTGACCAAGATCTGAACCAGAAACTTCCCGAATGTGAAACAGCAGTGATATTCATTTCACACCTAACCCCGGCCATTAGGTTTGAGCTGACTTCAGATGGAGTTTCCTGTTTGTTTAAAATGTGCAACTTTTCCACCGCAGAGCGACATAGTAGACACTCCATTTAAGTTGACTCCGAAGCGAAGTAGAACAACGACATATTTCTTCGTCCAGAGACCCCGTTCTTTCTGAAAATCACGGCAGTAATGTGTCCACGCTGAAAATAACTTAATTATTCCGCCCCACTTCCCCGTGGAAACTCTCCAGTTTGCATATAAACAAGCAGTTCCGGCCATTCTAATATCCCTCTTACAGAACGACCGTGTGTACTGTGATTCCTGGTGGCAGACTGACTACGACTTTGCAGTTTTTCCACTCCTTGCTTCTGTGTTTTCCTCTTCTCCAACAGTTCCGCCTTCATCCTCTTCTAAAGTAGTATCGTTCAAAATAACAGAAGAACGTCACGCAATATCCAACGCTACATTCTGATGACCTGCTAAAGGGCCTTTCACCTGCCTGAGTGCTCTACATCTTACAGGAAGAAGTCTACGTGCAGGTGGCAAGGAGAAACACTTTCTTCACTGCCTTCAATAAAAACTCACATTTCGGCACTACAAGCTGTATAAAACCTCAGTTCTCTGATCAAAATGCAGACATATCCCGGTTTATTTATTCGTAAGTTATTAAATAGCTATCTTTCTTTTAAATAGATCATATCTTTTTGTACTGAGTAAGAAAAGCTTCCATGAATACAACTAATGTGACTTCAGTCCTTCTTATTGATCACCAAAGATATAACGTGAATGGAAGGTGACTGTGAATGTTGAATGGCGATGTAGTGAAGAAGTGGTCGTGGATTACTTTATGTTAATGTGTCAGTTTTTCATTAGAGCAACTGAGTAAAATGTTGAAAACCTCAATCAAGACAGTCTTCGGGCATCCAAAGAAAAGCACAGCCTAATTTTTATTTTACAGTGTTATCAAAATAATGTTTTATACGACAACACATCTGTGAAGAGTCCAGAAAGGGAAGAAAAGGTCATTCAGCAGTTGAAGAAGTTCAGTAGTAACTAGACCGGAATTAGATACGAAGATGAATGTGATTCGTTGTTAAATGATGATGGATGAATGAGGAATAGTGACGTTACATCGTTTTACACGCTTGATCTAGGATAGTTGTCGCGAAACCTAACAAGACCTAAAGATAAGGAACGTCGGGGCTGTATTTTTGACAGCGAGCTTCCAAAAACCTGAGTAGGGCCATGATAAACTTTATTTATTATTTTCTTTCACATTCATCCATAAGTTTAACCTAATTCAAATCTAACGGCTTGGCCTATTTCACTTGGGTGCAGGCGTGAAGTATTATAATGGAGAC